TCGCGTGTACGTAACTAATTTACGAGGAGGTAAAATCGGGAAAGTAACCCGCGGTCTCGGGAGACAAGAACAAAGGGGATGGCGATGGCGTCTCGCTGACTCACCCTCGTCATTCGGAGAATTATAGGCGTCGAGTGTTCATCTTCTCTTAAAAATTCGGGGATTCTCCTCCACGGATGGATCCCGGGGAAAGTGGTTATTATTACAACGCGCTAAACGCGAGCACTAATTGCTTTCTCCCGGGAATAGGATAATGTTGAAAACGATGTTTTGACGCGGGAAGAGATTTTTCGACCATGATATAAATAGATGACGTTGCGTATTGTCATCACATACTTCGAATTTTTAACAGAAATGTCGAGCTGCGAACAATTATGATTGTGGCAGTTATTGATGCTCAACGCGCTGTTAATCAACTTTGATTGTTTTCTGTCAGATGTGCAGAAATGATAGAATTATGATGATTCTTATTATATTAAAACTGCAATTAAATATTGATTTTACTTAAATGTAATATTAAAATAAATTGAATCATCTATGACACGATATTGTTTTGTAGAAGCTTTATTGTCTTTACAAAGTTTTTAAAAATAAAAAAAAAACCATTGAATTATTATTGTCAACATCGCGCTACTTATTAATTATTAATAATTAAATGAAAACTATTAATATAATTCTCATTAATTTTTTGCATCTCAATGCGTGAGAAAGATGAGAGATTGAGAGGTCGATCACTTCGTTAAAATGTTAATACCCGCATTTTTGTATGTTGGCGTCTTTTTCCAGAATGTAAAATCGCGAGAGATGCAGTTTTACGAACCGGAACTTTTCTCGGCGGTCGCGATTATTGTACGATCACCTTAGCGTTGCAACGTTTGCTCGTTTCAGAAGGAAGAGGCACTTAGAAAAGACAAATGACTTCGCGAAATCATTAATTGCGTAATCGTGGCATTTCTTCGCTACATGCGGCTCGTGTTATTTTAGATTTCCCTCGTAAATAAGTTTGCGAAAAAATATATGAAGAAACGACGGTTTCTTTCGTAGCAACGACACTAATTTACGCGATTCGCGATCACATAATATTTTTGGGATAAAATGACAACGATGGTGCAAATTACTTTCCCGGTTCTTCAACTCGGCTGCCTTTAATCTCTTTAATTAAACGAATCAAAAATGTTTATTTATTTGCCAAAATTCGAAAAAAAAAGGAAACGCATATTTAATTTTTGTTTAATCGAACTTTAGTTTTTATTGCAACGTCCGATCTATCTCTTCTTTTCTCGCTCACACAATTGTACAATCTCTACTTAGCCAACCAAGCAGCCAGTCGATGGAGCTCGATAGCTCTTAGAAAGCATCTAAATTTAAGAAGTGGCACCATCGGTCCTGTTCTTCGATACGATTCCGTCGCGTGGCCCGTCACTTGTGCTTCCTCGTAACGGAACGAGGCGACGCGCGCTGAGAGTGAAAAGGAGCAAGAGCGATAGAGCGCCAGGCGTAGGAGAGCGACCAGGGGGTCCGGGGTCCCAGACCGCGTTAACCGGAACGAGGGACAGAAAGAGAGCCGAGAGGCGACATGCGAAAAAATACTCTCTTGGCACTCGGCTTCGGCAGACGACGAGATAAATAGCGTGCGTGGGTGCGGCTCAACGATGTCTACGGGCCACACGCCACGTTTCGGAGCGGATCAGGCGAGCGAGCGAGCGAGCGAGCGAGCGAGCGGACCGCGGATTCGTAAGGGGGACGAGACTCGAGAGACAGAAAGAGAAGGAGAGAGAGGGAGAGAGAGAGAGAGAAAGGGAGAAGCAGAAGGGACGAGAAAGACACGCCGGTGTTACAGAGACGAGGAGAGTTCTTACTCACGTTTTAAGTGCACCGACGACGTTTTAATGGCGCATCAGGTAGGAGTAATGTGCGTCGCCCTTGCGAGATTGCTCCGCAGTCCCCTTTGATTGCCGTCTCGCGAGGATATTTATGCGTCGTCGGGATAAATAGAAGAGCGCGCGACGCGATAGGGGCGATGGATGCAGCGGGCATAATTAACGATCGAACCGCGGGGGAGAGGGACGCACGCTCGGTCTCACACGAGTGATCTGCGCGAAAACTCTCATCTAATTAGCGAGATTGTATGAACGCGGCGCGCTCCTCAACTGTAAAGAATCACCCCGGCGGCTTTCAAGCGGAAAAATAAATTGTTTATCGGGCTTTAATCGGATCGATTACCTCGACTTTTTGTTTCGTCTTCTGTCAACCTTTGGTAAACAAGATGGAAAGTGAGAGGCATCGATTATGAGCCCAATTAAAATAGATTTTACTCACTGCTTATTTTATTTGGGAAATCTTATTAAGTATTTAAATAAAGAATGTGTAATGGATCATTCACTGCAATAATCAAGTGAGAATGACTTATTAAGCGTGTTTGCTATGTGTACGATATTGTCCGGCATTAATCCGTACTATAGTTCCTGAATTGCCAATTATGAATTATTATAAAGTGCAAATGACTTCGGCAGAGCGCGACTTCGCCGAGACTGAGCGTATGTCTCATGATTTATATGACGTTGCATCATTACGCTCACGGGTGGCAAATTACAGGCTAACTATAATTTATAGCCAATAAATATGGCACGTATTGTGTGTGAGGCGGCTACCGCCTCAATATATTTCATAGCTGCGACATGACGATTTAACAATCGAATGCAATGACGATTAATATCAATCTTTGCGGAAAGTGCAAAAGAAACAGTCCCTTTCTTCATAACAGTTCATTTCGACGCGCTTTCTAAGTAATATTAAGTATCTATTGAGATTTATATAATTCATAAATATCGTTTGAGTTTTATATGCTTATACAACATAAATATTATAATAGGTTTACGTTTGATTTCAATATTCTTTCCCGATTGTGTGCAAAATATTTTCAACTGATCTTTCCTTATATTCCAATATTCCAATATTTTCATAATTTTCTATGCGATTCTGCAGAATGATTATTATCGCTGTATTATTAAGAAAATAAGCGATGAAAAATAAAGTTGACGTGTAGTTTCCATCCATTAAACAGAAATTACAATGCGCTTTATCGGTATAATTACTTTAGTGTAGAAACTACGTCGCCGAAATTTAATCATATTTAAAAGCAGTAGACCTTTTTTAACGCTTTGATCGTGTAGATTATTCAACTCTTCGTCTCGTCGCCGAACGGAAATTGAGGTACCCTTTACGTCACAGTTTCACTAGCACAATTGAATTTTGACGCAATGCGTCACGCGATAGTCGCTTATCTGCTCGCCTCAGGATCAAGAATGGACTAGAAATAATACGGCTCCGGAATCTGGATATTCGCGAAGGTATATTTGACCGTAAAAAAAATATTTTTATTAATTTCTATCCCTTTTATCACAATTCCTACGTTCGTGAAATGACAGAAATTATTTCAAGTGAATATCTCGCTCCCTCGATTAGTGATCGCGTCGATATCTCAAGCACGGCGCGGCCTATTCCGATATATGGACGCGTGAAGGGGTCTCTCGGTGGAGGAAACGGATGAACCTCGGGAATACCCATCGGTGCTTTAATAATACACGTATCTGCATACCGCGCGTGGACACGTTGCAGACGTACAGCGCGGCGTGCCGCGGATATTTGTCTTGTTTCTTCGATAAAAGGCCGCCCTGTTTATCCTTCGCATTTCGGGCGAGCCGACCGAGGTTCTCTTGGGCTCTTTTGTTGAATCCAGCGCGAAGTGTAGCTGATATATGGCCTCTCGGGGTGATCGTATCGTCGTAGATTTTCATGGAAATCAAGCCGCGCATGTACCCCCCCGTATTCCCGGATTATTTTTCGATCGTTCGGGGCGAATCGATCGTAGATTAATCCACCGCCGTTCGATCGCGCGAGATATACAAACAAAGTCCTGATTCAATTCAATTTGGTTTCGCAAGCCGAACGTTGGTAGAAATCGGCTTTAAAGATTACTCCCACATTGTTGGGGTACCTCTGAAAAATCGAGCGGGCGACACACCCAACCGGCTAATGCGTGAATAATGGTCCTATCGGGAATAATAAAAGTACAGGTTCGTTAATGTCGGAGACTCTTTGTACTGATAAAGAACAAAAGTACTTAAGTTTATTATTTTCTTACAAATCTTCTTTCTAAAATGCACAGCTGAGTGCTATTGCAAAACGAGACGCCGATAATCTTTCAATTTTTTAACATACAAATGAATCCTGGTGCGCGCAGAAATGGAAAACAAAATAGAAAACAATGAAGAAGGAAAAAGCGAATGTACACAATTGTCTTTGAATTAGTCAAATATTCGACTGAAACCAGGGGTAAACGTCTTCTTCGAACTGCAAGAAGAGATGTTGAAAATCTCTCATTGTCCATTTTTTAACATAGAAATGTATCTTGGTGCGCGGAAAATAAGAAAGAAGTAATAAAATGCAAATTTATTCAATTGAACGTACTTAAATTAAATCATACATTCGACCGAAACCAGAGATAACTTTTTCTTTGAATTGTCAATAGGGAAAAGAAAATCTATTCAGTGGCGCAATAATATAGAAACAAAAATTGAGAGAAATGTTCGTCCAGAATTTGTTAGGAATTAAATATAACATTGAGTGAATTGTTTCATTATGACATCATGAAGAAAAATAAGATTCGTCAATTTGTGAATTTGTAAAATTACAATGATGTTCTACTGTAATCATTTTGTAACGATTTGGGAAAATTAATACTTTGGTTCTCCATCGGTTTTCACTTTTTCTCGAAATCTACATTAATAACAAATTTTCTCTCGCGGAAGACGTGTATCTAATAAGGCTGTAAAATTGCCAAGTCTTATCCTTCTCGCGCGAGTAGTATAAAACTTTCTCCTGTCAAATCAAAGCATCTTAAGCTATTCCACTCTCTCTCTCTCTCTCTCTCTTAATGTTAATCTTGGTCTTGCACAGAGGCTAGTGTAGTATCGTGAGTCGACAGTATCGTTTCATACCTGGTGAGACGGCAAGCGCGAAAAAGGCAGCGGCGGCGGCGACGAAGAGTATCCTGAGCGCATTTCCCGAGCCGCGCCGTCTCCTGCCCGGCCTCTTCTGGGCGGCGCGACAGCAGCAGGAGTCGTCGTTGCAGCACACCCTCGTCGCGGAGTCGTCGGACGGTCGTCGGGGTTGCACGTCGAGGACGACGTAGGCCTCTTCCACTTCCCCGTAGGGCTCCTCCTCGCCGTCGGCGTCCTCGGGCAGGTCGGCGGCCGCCGATGCGCGACGTCGACGCGGCGATCTCGCCCGGCGCGGTTCGCCGGCACTGCGGTTGCCGCCGCCGCCGGCACGGTCGATCGCCGGCTCGTCTCGATACATGGCCTGCGGGTGCAGCGACGACGACGGCGGCCAGCAACGTGCCACCGGGGTCGGCTGCGCTCGTCAACGTATCCTGTCCGCGGTGCCCGCGGCTACACCCGCGCCAGTACTACCTGCGGCGGCCCAGTCTCTCACCCTGCCTGCGACACCGTGCGACCTGGCGACACGATCGCTGCTGCGAGGCATTACCGCGACCTGGACCGCCCGAGCCGAGCCACCACTAGTCACTGCGGGCGCACGCAGCACCAACCAACCGAACGAACGATCAACCACTGACTCCCTTCGGCTTTCCTCAGCGCCGCTGCTCTCCGGTCTCTCCGGTCTCCCGATCGTGTTCGCGGCTAATCACCGTCACTGCGCCGAGGAATGATTTCCGCGTAAGTGCGAACGACTTGGATGCGGCAAGATAGTCCGTTTCCGCCGCTCCGTTTTTCTTTTCTTCCCTCCGGATTTGTGCTATCAGGACGACGACCCTGACGCGCGTTGCTCCTTTCACGTGACACACGCTCCGGAGTCTCGCGTAAGCACCGTGACGCGTGACGCGCCACCGAGGGTGAAGGCCTCGAGGAATCCGCGTATTATATCCGCCGCGACGGAGGGAAGAAGCCCTCTAAACGAAAGCGCGCGCTGTGTATTAACGATGACACGCGTCGAGCGCGGAAGGAAAGAAGGGTTCGACCGTGCCTCTGTCCCTTTCCGCACCCTTTCGCTTCCGAGCGTCTTTGTCCCCTCGCTTTCTCTCTACCCGGAACTTGACGATGGCCCCTGCTTGCACGACGGGGAACGACCACCAAGCGCCATCGACACGTTCTTCCTCCACCCTTTCTGTCCGAAAAACGAACGACTGACTGACTGCAGCTCGTGCGTCGTCCGGCGCGCCTGGACA